TGAGCAAGCTTGAAGTCGAATTTAGCCAGGGGACTGGGATTAACACGCCTTCTCAATTTAATATCTCATCTGAAGGATGACAACTTCCATACAAAACTGTCCCTGGTCACCAAACCAAGACAATGTACTGGAAGTTCTCATCCAAAAGCAAGAGTGCCACCTACTGGTCCCCTAACACCATTTACAGCTACAGCCTGGTTTTCCTTAGAGATCTCCCTTTCCAGAACTGACTAGGCTCAGCCTTGCTTAACTTCTGAGATCTGACTACAAAGTGGTGTCGCTGCTGTGGTAATGAGCAATAGACGGCACTTGCTGTCAAGTGTATAGTTCCCGTTGATCTTCAGGCACTTAATCCACAGAGAAACGAACCAGTCATCAAAGTGAAATGCTTTTTTATACCAGTCTTGAGGTCTGTAACGAATTAGAAACGTTGACTTAGATACTGGCTTTTCTGGGGCGCAGCGACACGAAAGCCGCACGGCTCTGGGTCTGGCCTGCGGTGTAATTTTGTAGGCTGTTGCTTTCCTGCCTGCGCACTGCATGGTTGAATACAGCCATGGAAGGAAAAGGACGTGTAATGGAATGTTTGCTGATGGGCATTTTGTGCAAATTTTTCTGCTTCCATGTAGACGTTGTCAATGACAGCAATGATGGGCTGTAAGTAGGGGGTTAAGTATATTTCCTGCCAGTGCCAGAAGATTAGTGCCATGATCTTTAACAGTGAGGCCATTGCCTTGAACGGCTTGAGCTGCAGGGAGGATGAGTGATGTCACTCCGCTCTGTGGTGACTGGTTTTGGGGTATTCACATAAGAAATATGGATTCCTTTTTCTTTCTATGTGACTGGTTTTTAAAGTAATGCTTAATCCTATCTCTGTCCTCATTGTAGTGTTGCACCTGCAGATTGACCTGCCAGATCCATTTATTTTAGAGTATCAGGGCATGCTTGTTTTTGCATGACAATCTGAGTGATCAGGTTTTCTGATCATGGCTTTGACAGCATCAAAGCCCTTTTCTTGTTTTGTGGGGCCTGTCACGCAGCATTCCTCTAATACAACTGCTAATTCTGACGTGCTCTGGATAATACCACTTTCTACTGCAATAGTCCACAAAGTGCAGAAGCCTTTAATGAATGGTTGCCTGATTGGGTGTTATTCCCCTGTGTTGACATGGTGCTTCCTGCCGTCAAGACAGCCAGAGGTGAACTTTCCTTCACTGTGTGTTTTGGCTGCTTCCCAGCAGCAGTGCGTAGTGGGATGGGGTTTCCACGGCCCTTTAGAGCCGCCTTGTCATCCGCAGATTTATTGAATCTGACTAGAGCAAATGCCATGACAGGCCGCGGAGTAAGCGGTATGGGCTTAGCAATCCGCTGCTAGTGAACGATTCCCAGGATAGTCTTGACTTGCTCATCTTTTGTGCAAACACTTGACTTCGTTTATAAATAGCCGACAGCTTGCAAGCCAACGTACATGCCTTATTTTGGGGTCTGTTTTTTGTGCGCATGTTATTTTGAGTGATTTGTTGGTCGTTTGTGTAACGAAAGTTCTAAGACCCGGGTTCGCTAGGTAGTTGCTCTCTGACCAAGTGATTTAAGGGCTCAGTGCAAGGCTGAGAGAAAGCCTGGTGCTGGCCGGAGCCTTTGAAAGGGGGGTGGCTCTTGAGAGGTCTGGTGAAGACAGCGGCTGTTGCTTAGAAGCCTAGGGTGCTTACAAATTGCATTGAAACACTGAGGAAGAAGCTGCTTTCCTGTGTGCAGTTCTGAATTTTCTTAAAGTTTTGTTTCTAAGAAAGATAGTTGTTTCTTGGAACACAGGTAAATTAGTAAGAAAGAAGGGATAGATAATAGGCATTTTATTAGGTATGTTTTATAAATGAACTGCATAAAGACTGCCTGGCTTGGGCATTAGCTTCTTGTTTAGGAAAAGAACAAATGGATGCTTGAAGTGGAACTGTGATTGACAGCAGTGTCAAAATTGTTGCTGTGGCCGTTTGACGACAGAAGATAATAACTGATTGTGACAGGGTCATGTAGCACTTAAATCTTGTCGTAAAACCTTGGACCTCACTTTTCAAATCAGAAAACTGGGGGTCTTATCAGAGGTGCAGTGTCTTCACAGCTAACTTGATTGACTTTGGACAATTCGTCTTGCAATTTCCTTCTTGCAAGGTGACGAAAACACTGCTTCCATTGCTGTTGTGTCTCTGTATAACAGGCCAGAAAAACTACACAACAGACGCTTCACATTTGTTGTTTGGAATAATAATACTAGGTCATATTTTAATATTTGATTTTTCATAAATCAATCCTTTTGCAGCGTTTCTGCGTTTTTGTCTGTAGACTTTTATTAATAGATTCTAAGAGATAGATAGTGAGAAAGCTAATGTTAGATGGGCAGCAAAAGTTGAACACAGAGCAGAATCAAAATACAAAAAACAAAAAGCGTGATGCTTGTCTGATATTAAAAGAAAGTTCGCTTGTCATACGTGGAGCCCTGAAATATCGGCGTATTTTTGTTATTTACTTTCTAGCTGGGAAGATAGTCACATCCAACTAGAATCACATAATTAGCATGGAAAGAATGACATTTTGATTATTAGTGCATAGTTGAGTAAAGTGTGCGTCTCACATCTCATAAATAATTAGACAGATAAATGGATGGGTTCTATGAAAGTGAGTGTTCATCTATCCATGGAAGAAAGATTTTCATATTAACCGGCTTATAAGAATTCCCTTCCCAGTACCGTTTTTGTAAGAATAATAATGCTCAAATCATATTATTTAACGCATCATGTTTTAGCTTGTGAGATGTTGAATGATCTTTGAATGTTACAAGTTGTGCTTCTTTTCTACAGGATGAAAAATAGTGTGGTATGTTTGAAACCTCCCTTTTTTCTCCAAAAGGAGTGCCTTGTCACTGCATGGAGAAACTGCCAATAAGTCAATAAAATGAGCTGAAATAAATCTGCTAAAATTTTATGTTTAGCTCAGGTACTGTATACTGTAGGTTTTATATTAGCAGCTTAGAAATCTTGCCCAATTCCTTAGGTACCAACTTGAAGTCACGATAATTATTCAAGATTGACACAATTGTGTTCTCAATCCTTAGTATTGCACAAGGGGATTCATGCGATGAAGAAAAGCAGCTGATCTTAAGTAATACGTAGAACATTTCAATCAGAATTACCGTATCTGTTCAGGCACTATACTTTTATGTATTCCTCAGCTCCCACTGTTGCCACCCTGCAGTCGCAATAATTCTTCCAACATTGTGTTCGTCATTATAAAAATAAATGCAGTGGTAGTTTTTGATCTGTTTGATTTTCTGTATTGTGCCTTCTCTGCGGTGGTATTGTGTGAATGGCAATTCCCCAGTTCCTGTATTATAGCAGACGGCCCGGTGAAGGTTTTACTGAGAGACAGATGAATGCTTATGGATTTTCCAGGAGCTGTAACAATTATATATAATAACCCTATATTCCAGCTGGCTGTAAATAATGCCCTCCCCCCCCGCCCCCGCCCTGTTGAAGCCCAAACCCAAATCCATTAACAAAAACTGCCACATACTGTAGCATCCAGTTTTAAACAAACACTTCCTTCTCTGTGCATTTGTATTAGCTGCCTGCGGATCTGCTCACAGCTTAATAATTATTTCCCTAGTACTGTGTGCAAATTGCGTATGAGACCACACTGTAGACTGAGACAGGCAGTGGTAGGATGTTACCGGCTTGTTGCTATGACAACAGATGAGGGACAGTTAGCAGAGCTTTTACAACAGTGACAGTAGAAACTGCCTGCAAGAGACTCTACAGGACAGAGCTGAGGCCGGGAAAGGAACATTATAAGCACACCGCCGATTATCAGGAGAGTCAGTGGACAGGAGTTGGAGCATTATTTTCTCCTTGGGGTCATTTTTAAATGGTATGTTTTTTTAATGTTTTTGTTTGTATCTGTCGTACAGTTTTTTTTTTGCTGCATGATTTAACAGAGGAAGGAAGATGCATCACGCTGTACTACACCACACAAATAAGCGCTCACACACACACACACTCTCACAGAGGCCTCATTTTCTACGTGTAGTGTGCGTTTATTCTTTGAAAGCCAGCGGTTGGCTGGTTTTCCGGACATGATGTGGTTGAAGCTGTCATCGTAATGGAAATTCATTGCTGTAGCTATGGTAAATCGAGTTTTCTGCCCTGGACTGAATGCATTAGTCTAATGAGATGTTTGCAGCTGGAGCTCTGAGCTGCAGGACTGAGGAGAAGAGCGTAGAGGCAGGCAGAGAGAAGATGGCTTTTGCAGCTCTCTGAGTGGCTGTATTGAGAACCTACAGCAAAAAGACTGGAATTAAAGACACAGGGTTCGGTTCATTAGTGCAGTAAATAGGTAAGCCAAACGGAGCTGTGCTTGTGTGGAATCTGCGTGGAATTCTTGCCTGATAGGTAGTATTATTGCTTGAAGTTGGTGGGGGAGGTGTTGTAGCAATACAAAAATGCTGTACATTGTGAAATTTCAGCAGCTGGCTTCTGTTCTTATTGGGTTTGTCCTCTCACCATCATTTTAGCTCTTCGTATGTGTTTCTCAGTTCTGTTCCATCTTTCCCCACTGTTCACTAAGGTAGCGCCTGTATTTTTTTTGTGTGTTTTCATTTGTTGTGGTCTCGGTATCTAGCAGTGCTTCTGCACAGTTGAACAGGGAAAGGAAGAGAAAACATCCTTGTGCAAAAAAAATGTTTTTTGTTTTGTGTGGGTAACACGCTGTTTTGGGCAGCTTTTCAGAAAGAGTGTCAGCAACTTGTGCAGGATGCCACTTATAGCTGGACATTTAAGTTGGCAGGACATGAAATGACTCATTTGGACTGTGGAAATGTACTTGAATTAGCATCAGCAGAAGGCTGCTTCAGTTTCTTAGATTCTGTGCTCGGGATACAGGAGTGATTTGGCGTCACATCTCCCTCCCTTGCTGTATTTCTGGTTGTTCTGAAGGCTTGTTTTCTTTTTCAGGTCCAATGAGTATTCCCGCGGCATCAGCACAGAAAGCAGACAACAGTGAGATGCAATCGCCTGCCATGAGCCCTTCATTCATTCCCGGGCAGCGAGGGAAGATCCCAGGCAGAAAGCGAGGCAGACCTCCGATTCGCTCCACTGTCTCCAAAATGGATTTTCAGAACCGCTACTCAGAGTCCCTCTCTCCCCTCAAAGTGCCCAAAAAAAGGGGGCGAAAACCTGGATTTAAGGTCAGTGTCTGCAGGGGGGGGGGTTGGTTACGCTCCGGGCTTGGATTCTGGAGACACAGATCACAGTAGACAGCTCGGTCCCTCCTTCCTCCTTGAGGCTGTCTCTGCAAGCCAAGCTGGAGAAGTGGGTTAATGCTGGATGTACCGACTGTATCCACTGACTTGACGTTAGATGGGGAATTTGTTTATGATGAGTGTTGTTGGAGCAGCTAGCACATAATGAGCATATGGAAGTACTATGTGTTGTTTTTGTTTCATTTTCTTTTTTTAAAACACTCACTTCCCGTTTGAGAAAAAAAACCCCACCGCTTTTAGAACCTGGCTCGATACAGTAATTGCAAGTACAAATGGCATTGTGGATTACCACACATTAGGAGAGCTGTTTGTTTCTGCTTATTTATATAGATTGTTTTATGCTGCACATTTCGGCTGGCATCAATGTGTGGACATTATTGTTCTCGGTTTTATGGCATGAGCTGCTGTTGTAGCCATGAATGAACATCTGTGCATAGTGCTGGATTAATTCCTGCTTTATGCAGGGCTGTAGATAGAACCATTTATTAAATCCAATAAAATGGTGTGGCTGTACAGTTGTCCTCAGGCATAAAAGACAAGGCTAAAGGAGCTTAGGCCAATGTGGCTCCTGTCTGAAAATCAATTTTACTGAGCTACTGTACTGCTTTAGGAAGTCATTTTCATTGTGCTATCATGTAAAAATTTAATTGTATGCACTGTATTTGTGCAGAGGCAAATAACAAAGAGGTTTTATATTGTAAAAGAAATATGTTGATTTCTATTGTGACAGGCCAGACCCTAACAATGCATTAGCAACAATACGTAAAATGGCATTTATGGAAATTTTACTCTTCACTCCAGTACTGTACAGTAAATGGGGAAAGACGTAATAAAAGATCATTTCTGTGCACTATTAGATCAGATTGTCGTTTGTGATGAAAGGTTAACACTCTGCCTTAAAGACCAAGATTACCAACCCCCACTCCACAATCTCACTTGTGCATCTCCAGACCTTCGCTGTGAGTTAATTACCCTCTGAGTGGCAGTTGTCGATCAGAGATGGGAAAGTAATCAAATGCAGCTCGCCTTTATCTTTAACGCGCCCCTATTTGAAATGAGGACATGCTGCAAACTGGGGCTTCAACAACGTCTGGTTGTGTGCTGTAGTGAGGCATGGTGCGGGACTGAAGCAGTGATATCGCGGGCTGTCACTTGTCTCGCAGCTCAAGTCTCGGATCGTGATGACTCCTCTGGCCATCTCCCCTCCTAGCAGCACGCCAGAACCGGACATGAGCTCTATCCCTCAGGATGCCGCCACCGTTCCACACTCCGCAACTCCACAAGTGCTCACAGGTAGGACTTCGTTGCTGGGCAGTTGGACTCTCGGCCTACTCCAGTACCTTGCCGTTTTTAAGCCAGACTCTGAGCGGGAATTCACTGGCTTTTCTAGCATTACACGAGAAAATCTGTTTTGACACTTGGGCAAAACAGTTCTGACGATGTCGGGATGCATCTTTTAATCAAAGCAAGGATGTATTTTCTGTTGCTGAAGTAAGAAAGAGGCATGTGTGAGACATGGAGTTAAAGCCTTGCCCAAGGTTTTAATTGGCTAGTCTTGATTTGAAAAACAAATACCAAAGTTAGTCCAATCCTGGCTGTTATCTTTTAAGTAATTAAAACGTAATGTTTAGCATTTCAGAAAGGTGTGTCAGAGAAGAGAAGTCATGGTAAGTTAACTTCAGTTACCATGACATTTAGAGTCCTTTGTTTCCATCAAAAACATCCCCTTGTTTGTCATTGGAATCATTCATACTCTGCAAAAGTAATAAGAAATTAAACTGATTCTGGATGTGTTATCCAGAATAAACTGAAAGTTCAAAACCTTTTCCCGTGATAGTTTCTATGGTGAAACTTTACTGATAGTAGAACACAATATGCTGTTCTCCAAATGGTTTTTCACTGGCTGCCAAAAGGTACTACTGGATAGTTTTGATTTGATTTATGGGTTGCTTTAATGCATCAGGTGCTGTTAAAAATGCGAGGCGAGATAGAACGTGCGTTGATTGATAATGGTGGCTGTTCTTTTCATTATTTTGCTTTTTAACACATTCTAGGTAGCAGGGCTTTTATTCTGTGTATGCTGAAACCATTTGTGAACAGTATTTATACAAAATAGCTGTGCTACAATCATTGTCTTCAGTGGAAAATACAATTAGAGCAATTGTTTTCATTTTGTAGTCATTCTATAGAAAATATCTTCTAGCAACCAGCCAGGCAAAACTCAAAGCAACGTCTCTGTTTCTATATCTAATTATAATGCTGTTCCAAAGTCCGTTTTACTCAATGCATCCTTTAGTGTGCACACTCCTTTGTGGGGAATTTTAAATTAAGCAGAGATCCATAAATTATTCATGTATTATTCAATATTAAATTTAGCCTCATTAAGGCTTACTTTAAAGCGAATCTAAAGATGACACTTTTTAAAATTACTTCAGAAATAATGCATGTAAAAGAATATTCCACATCTTATACATTCTTTTTCCACAATGTATATAATTTATGCCTGCATTGCCTTACTTATTATCTCAAGTCTCAGTACTGTAATGTGCATATCGTGACAGAAAAACATGCATTAGGTGTAAAATAATACATTTATCATGATAAAAATAGCAGGCACAGTTTGTGTACAGATAAGAATGTTACTGCCTCATATGTTTAATATGTTCTGTTGAAATTACGCATTTCTGCCCTCACTAATGTTGACACTAATTCACTGCTTCATACCTCACTCTTCAAATTGAGTTCAACTGTAAGTTTTTTAAATATATGTGCTGAACTATTATTCTCGTGGAAGGATGTAACCTTGAATTTCTCCTTTTTTGGTGTATTTTGGTTAGATCAGCTTTGGTATGCAGAGCGCATTAACAGCTGTTTGATTAAACAGACACCAGTGAACATATGGGCTTTCACCCAAGGTTAGGCAAGGTCTTGTTCATTTCACAGAGAAAACGACAAGTCAGACTTCTGCTGCACTTTGAGGTGTGTTACAAAATAATTTAGATTATTTCCTATTTGGACTGTACTTGTTATTCTTATTTTTTCAGTGTATTATTAAGTGTTATCATACCTTTGAATGTGAATCCATTTTTTTAACCCAGATTAAGGGAGAATATGATGCTTATTGCTATGAGAAATTCTATAGTATATGGAACTAGAAAGTAAAAAATAGAAGAGTTTCCCCTCACACAATCTGATCACAACTATCCTTCAGTTTGGTAGCTGGTGAGCAGACCTTGTCAAGAAATACAATTCAGGACCACTAAACAGTGATCTAATATTTAAAATGTAACTATGCCTTAACTGAAATGTTAAAGGAACGAGAGATTATCTGCTACATGATATTTAAGTTTTGAATAAAACAAGCTGTTCTTGAGTCGATACAACGCATTTTCTTTCTGAAGTATGATGATCAGTCAGTTCGATTTCCCTCACAAACTTGGCGAGTCTGTTTATTTTATTAGCTGTCAAAGTCTGCTTGGGTTTGGCTGGCTGTTGTTTGCATTGGCTTGACGTTAAGGGTCACTTATCCAACAAAAGTACTATTATATAGTAGCCGGAGAACAAAAACCAAAACTACTCCTAGACTATTGTGGGTTTGCATTGCGGGCTTGTGAATCCAAACTTCCTAACGTTTACATTTCTTTTCCTGCCAGTTACACAAGTTCTTCTGCTCCGGCGATATTTTCAGAAATAATTTGGCTCTACCCGTTGTGAAGGCAGATAACCATAAACTCCCCTCCCCCCATCCCCTTGATTCAAACCCACAGACTCTCAACCCACTCCCCACCCCCCACCCACACAAGCAGAAGTGAGCCTCCCTACCCTTGCTGACAGGGGCACTTCTGCCCTGGTCTTCCTCTGTGTTGCTTTGCAGACCCCTGCAGCCAAGACGCAAACTTTCAGTCTTTGTTTTAGGTGCGTTTCCCTGCATGACAGCTGACATCTCAGCGTGCTGCGTGTTTGGTCTCTCGGGGGCAGTGGTTGGCTGTGCCTTCTGGGGTGAATCCGGTAAGGCAGTGACTGCAGGACTGGATAAAAGGAACTGTGTTGTGGTGGTAAGAATAGGAGTCAGGTGCCGTTTGAAACAGCTGGGGGAAGACGCAGGCTGAAGAAACCAAGCAGGGATTGCATTTTTAGATCGGTTTTCTTCTTCACTTTGAAGGGAGACTCCTGGCAGAGTAGGGGGATGGGTGTTGACTTTTCATTTTTTTGTCGTGCCTGTTGTTTCTTAGCACAGAGACTACGTTGGATGCTGGGTACAGTGACGTACAGGCAAGTGGCGAAAAAACAGCTGTGGAAGGTTTTGTTGTCTCAGGGGTCACTTGTTTCAGCGGGTAGCTTAAACCGTGTTAATAATTTAACTTGATCGTGGGTATTGAGTGCAGCGGCAATTTTCTGTCTTCCTCGGTACCTGGAGAGCCTAGTTTCTGGTCTTACATCACACAGTGTAATTTGCTGAAATAACAGCACGTAGCGTCAGTGGGAAATCTCTGCAAGAAAATGTGGAAAATAGTTACAAAAAAGCATGGCTTTCACCATTGTTTTCTTACATGAAAGGTAAAACAATGAAATGGATATCTTTCCAAAGACATTTGACTTAGGTTTCAGTAATCATTTACTAAGAGTTTTAGGCAAAAATCAGACAGCAGCAACGAAACCGTCTTTCTAGTATTCATTTTCATTTAAATGTGGTAGTGCCACTTTAACACGAGGCTGTGATGCAACACCCACTTTCAGTCATGCCAAATAAATAAATCCAAGAAAATAAGGCATTGTCTTAGACTGTGAACAGGAAGTCAGAATTCAGTGATAATGTCATTCCACTTTTTGGCTGCTTTTTCAGTAAAGCTGTGGAACTAGAGAATCTCTCTTTCCCCATTTCACTGAGTCTCAGCATTCATTTAGGCACTATATTATTAGATTGAACTGCATGGTTTTGCTACACTTTGTTTTTTTTTAGCATTTTAAAATATAACGTTAATCTTTTTCCTTTAAAAAACGAAACATTTTGCATTTTCCTGTCCACTTGTCTTTGGAGAAACATTGAAGAATTATGTAGTGCTCGAGGTATTTTTTGGAAAGTTCAGCACATGGGACAGGATCCAATTAGTTTTCGGATGGGTTTCTTTGAAAATTGCCATTTCATCAAAAGGAATTAAAAAGGAGAATTTTAATCATCAAGACTTAAAGCTGAATGTATTAATCTATGCAATTAAATTACCAAGATCTATGGGGGCATGCCGCTGACTGAACAATCATATAACTTTGAACCGACAGTCACCTTCAGCCAATCACGGTGAAAGAATGTGATGGGCAAGAGATCGTCACATGGGCAGACGAGCACCGACTGATCCCTGTCCACCAGGTTAAAAACAAAATCATTCAGATTAGCTTTTAAATGCATCAATTCTCAGTGCTGCTGCAGTGCCCAATTTATAGCAGGTGTTAAGTGTTTTATTTGATTTGCTGTTTTCCCTGTGGGCACTACATTTTCTTGCAAGGGCAATTTCTTTCTTCTGCATCGATCATAAGTACCTCTAAGCAAAATGCCTATATGTTAAACTTTATTATTAATGCACTGCTGTATTTCTTGGTGTGAACCACATCCTTGCTGTACCTTCAGATTTTGGCCGTGGCGGTAATGTCTTTCACTGCTAAATATACCACAGTGTATTTGAAACATTTCCCCACTCTCCCTGCCCCTGTTTTTGGCTAATGGGCAGTCCTACACCATGAGCCACTGGCTCTGCAGAAAAATCTCATGTACTAATACAGTACAACTAATCTAATAAACTGGTATACTGCATGTTTCCAAGTGTACCATTCATTACTAAAAGGCATACTTTCTTTCCTTTATGCTATTAATAGTATCCATAATTAATGCGCAGTAAATAGCTTTGTGTTCTCTCTAAGGATCATTGCATTTTTGCAAACACTCAAGTTACATATCTGTTATTTTACTTTTTAATAACTGTGATTTGTCTTTGCTATGATCCAGTGAATAAGGTTTTGTCAAAACGACATTTAGGTTGGGTGCTTGAACCTAGATCATTAACTATGAAGCAAAATTAAATTGTTTTAAGGGATTGTCATAAATATGGTATTCCTTCCATTTTGGCTGTTGTAGATGAAATATTTTACAGTAGCAGAGTGTAAGGTAGTGTGCTGTTACAATGCATGGAATACATACAGTACCATATAAAAGAAAAATACAAAGCAGGAAAATGTGCAGAAAGCAAACTAGAGGAAGGTCTTTTTTCAGTAGACAAGTATTTTTGTTTCTGTAAAAGTCATACTGTCATATTGAACTGTATTTTTCACTCTAACACATTACTGTGTATGTTCCAAGATAGATTTTAAAGGCAAAATGTGCAAAAATTACATGCATTGTCACAGAACATTTTTTTTTCTTTAACGTGTGTTTTCATTTGCTTTTACTTACCCATTGAGTATAGGGCATCGAAATGGAATTTATTATACCCTTTCACATGTTTGAAATTCATTTTGGCATGTTTGAAAATGAATTCCAAATATTTGAACATCTCTTACAAATATTTGAAGCAGGAATTGAATTATAAGTATTAGCAAGGGAATTTCAAATATTTGAAAATTAATTAGGAGACTTTTAAAATATCTAATACATTCCCTTTGGGCACCTAATGCCGCAGTGTGGTCTTAAATAAAATAGTTTTGACATGAAGTGGTGATAGCCTTAGAGGGATCAGGTAGATAAGAGCACCCAGTAGTTTTTGTGGTAGTGTTTGTATATATTTCTAAATCCAAACACTTTGTGATGCTGGTTTTTCTGAAACAGAGCTGTAAGAAGAACAAAGGCTTGTCATGTAAAGCTTTGATGATCTCCTAGTACAGTATAAATAGTTATTCTATAAATAGTTGGATGTTTGGATGAAGCTGAGGAAATGGTCTGGACATTTTTTCTTTTGTGGGTATGCTTGAAAAGGACTCATATACTGTATGTAGTGCTTTGAGTAAAGTGTACTACAATTGTACCATACTACAATGTATTGTACTAGAAGAGCACCTTGTATTATTCTATTGATATGAATCCTGTGTACGTACTTTGTAGAGTTTGGTGAGGGAGATTATCAGCCTTGGATCTTGTTTTCCATTTGTGATTCATTTTAATTGTCAGTATTATACATTATTATGCCATGTATAGAGATACCTCAGTCACCACCTGCAGGGCACTGTATATACAGTACTACCTATAGAGAGACCCCTTACTGTACTGTAGGTCATAAACATAATTTAGATTGTGTCATTGGATAGACCTAAAGGAAGGTGTGGTGTTAAACAACAATAGAAATTAGGGAAGAACGTATCCTAAATACAAAAATAACAACCATAATAATTTAGAATATGATGTTAGTAAATGATCAGGTTTTAACTAGTCTCAACCCAAGGAAAGAGCAGATCTTGATAGTAGAAAGTGAAAAATTACATTGTAAATGTATGATATGTTTATTCAATACTGCTCCTGTGTCTCATTACATGTTGGCCTAAAGCATGAGAAAATAATGTATTGGTTATTTTAAAAATGCTTTGTAAAAGCTTAAACTATAAAAATGTAATGAGCAATATTCAGGCAATATATGCAAACTCCTCTAGTCTTGTTTTAAAGTTCTTCATGTGCCTTTATTTAACTCCTAGGTAGCATTCCTTTATTTTAATTCTTGTTCAGTGCACAGTGTGTGTACAAGGGGTTTGCTTCTCTGAATATGTAGTTCAGAATAACTGCAGTTTTCTTGATTAGAACCTAAGGATCACATGTATATGTGAACAGTAACTTGTCATGGTTACAGTAGTATTTGCAACAATCTGATAAAAGTGAAAGTTGTAGAATATTGTGAAAGGATTTAACAATGGATGGTGAAATCATCCATTTCAGAGTGTAAACTAAAATAAAGCTGCAAAGGAACAAGTAATAGGTTTATTCCATGCTGAAAAAAGAAGAAAGAGAACACAACGTTTCGGCCGTGGAGCCTTCTTCAGGTGTGAGAGAGACAGGGCAGTAGGCAAAGGTAAAGTAGCGGGAGAACAAAGGTTGGGAGGGAGGAGGAGTGAGAGGCGGGAGCAGGGGACAGAAAGAGAGGCCAATCAAGAGGTGACCTTGATTCCCACTCTTTTCAAATGTTGTGTTGTTGTTGGAGTATACCATTGTAGTGGAGAAGATAACTTCCAGGAATATCTGAAATCTTCATCTTTAGTTGCTGCAGCTCTAGTAGAGGCCATTGAACTGACTTCACTTTGAGTGGTAACTACCCAGCAAGCTGCCTTCAAACTTGACAGCTTTACAACACATTGGAGCTACCACAGCACAATAGCTACAGGAAAGAGCATATTATCAGCGGTTTATATATATATATTTCTTGTTTACCTGAAATCCTGCTAAAGCTATATAAGTGGCTAAGGGGATGAGGCCCATATTTTGGGAATCTTCCATCTTCTTTGACCTGACCACTGACCTTGTCTGGTCCATGTTTTGACACACGGGGGTGTCTGTTGTGTCACTCTTTATCTCACAGCACTCTTTCTCTGACAAGCTATAGCTTTTATACCACATAGTTCAGTTTAACCCCCTTAGTTCTATGTTTTGAGTGAAGACTTTGATGTACACTCTTACATGATCATGCTGTTCATGTCCTTTTCCCAGTCCCATTGCTAGCACTGAGCATTTTTAACTTCTAGCTTGGTTCTGCTTAACTCATGAAATAAGTTTAGTTCATACTGGAAAGCAGTGCTACTAAAAATCTTGAATGTTGTTTGGTGCGTAGTTACTCCAGATACCTTTAAGACATCTTAAATACCTTTAAGTACTCATGTTCTTATTTCTCAGAATAAGATTTCACAGTGTTGTACTTTTAGGTATTTGTTATCTTTTGTGAAGTCTAGGGAATTGTTTTGAACTTTATGGCACTAAAAATGACGTCTAAAATACTTCTTGCTGTCTAGCATACTTTTTCTTCTTGTTCTTTATCACCCTTCTTAGTTGAAGCTGAATTTGACAATCAAAAGTATTTTACTCCCTTGCTTCTCAAATACAACAAGAATTACAACAAGGTATCACTTTCCCATTCATGGTCAGGTCATGACACTATTCCATCACATGATGTACAGTAAATTCTCTAATCAGATAGATGGTGACTGTTCTGGTAGTATGATGTGACGACTCATTAGCAAGTCATTATTTGAATGTAATAAATGGAAAGAATACTGTGTGCATAAATTGTTGTTTCAATGTATTTTTAAACAATTTATTTTAATGATTTCTGTTCTTCTAGGTCAATATGTCACCAAATAAAATGTCACAATATACCAAAATATCGCTGCTTCTTGAGTTTGCATTGTTTGAGGACAAAATAAAGTCTGCTTATTTGTTTTGCTTGCTAGTTTTTACCTAGTGTAGCTAAATGTAACAGGAATAGTATGCTAATATCAGACTGAGTATTCTCTTACAACAACTGATATGAAATAGGGCACCTTAAGTATGCGTGTGCATTTTTAGCAACTTAGGTTGGGACAGAAATGTCATATAACATCAGTCTTGTGTAAGTGATAGGAGATAGAACTGTATATAAGCTATAAATGACAGAGCACTAAACCATATATTGTGGAACCAGTTTGCCACCTTGAATTGTTGAAAAATATAATATCAGTCACCATAGTCATAGTGTACGAGCACTCACATTTTTACCAGAAGTTTTCACTAACCATGCAGTTCTTCTAAGCGTGGCATTTTAATAAGCTTATTAACCACCATCTATGTTCAATGTTACTTGTTCACATACATAACGTATAGTTATCTAATGGGAAATGTAGTCCATATACAGTTGACTGCCTTTCTGTCTTTAACAGAATGATGCTTTCATTTTGAGAGCTGTAGTGCATCACAAAGCACTCTGGAGCACACAGGTTTTGCATCTGAAGTTTATTTTTTTCAAGTTAAAGAAATATTCCAGTTTTTCCCCTCTTCTACAAATGCTTAATTTGCTATGCTTGTCATACTTTTCCATGGAACAGAGTGGCATTGAAGGATTTTTACCACGCTTGGCATGATTGCACTTGCTTGTTTTATCAATCCTGTTTTTCTAAATCCTCCTAATATGTATCAAACAGCATTTTGCAGTGTGCTGGAATTTTGAAACTAATTGGATAGCAGTTGCTTTGCTCTTCATTACAAATTAACATAGCGCATTGCATTTTTTGAACACTAGATGACAATTCCAGAGCAATTTACTGCTATTGGCTTCCTCAGAGCCTGTTTGTTTTGCCACATTTGCTTGTTTTAGAATGGAAGCAAAGTACAGAATAATCTGGATTTTTTCTTAAAGCAGACCATCCATTCCATAATAGTCATGCAGATCTGTAAGGGTGTTTTTCCATTAGGTGATATTAATATGTTTCTTCAAAAAGATGTGTTTTAGCAGTTTGCATGCAACACATTTTAATAGTTCTGTAACATTAACATTTGTGTCATTTGCTTTGATATAAATAACTCTATCGGTATGGCCATTGAAGAATGTCTGGTTTCTAATATCTCTGCATTTTCTCCTTCCTGTATTGTTTACAGTTTGCATTTATATAAACAAGCAAGCCAACACAGGTCCTAATCTTGACAGGAAAAAAGTGCAACAGCTTCCAGATCATTTTGGGCCCGACAGACCGTCTGTTGTGTTGCAGCAAGCAGTCCAAGCCTGCATTGACTGTGCTTTCCAGCAGAAAGCTGTATTCTCACTGCTCACTCAAGGTTATGGCGGTGAGAAAATATCGGGTAAGAATCCACAGAACTTCCTTTATTACCTGTGCTGGGGCCTCTTTGTGTTCCTGTGTGTTTTCTTTCTTTTGTTTTTTTAATTGTTTGCCACATGTTTAGCAGTGCTGATTGGCAATATTGGAAATCTGTATCTGTGTATGTATCCATGGACACAGTGACATTATTATATTATAGTAGTGATGGCTGTGAAACTATCCATTTACCTGAGCTAGATTATTTCAGTTCCCTCCTAGATGTCTAGTGCTTTTTATTACTTACCCATATGTCCTAGATTATCAGCTGATACAGTGACACCTCACTATCCCTTGTAGCCTGTTAGAATGGCTGGGGTCTCCTTCGGAAAAATACAACTCAGAACTGACTGTTATTGTTTGTTAATGAATGTTGCTAGTTCCTTTATCCATGGTGACTTATAGCCTGAAAATATTTTGGGTGGAGTTGGAGCCCAGAAGTTAAAAATCAAAACTGTTGTAGTTGGCCACAAAAGTTCACATGTACAGTATTTCCGAGTTTCCTCAAGGCGTTCTCTTCAGGATGTTGGCCAGGAGTGGTTCTGAGGATCAGTACATTGTCTCGGACGTTTAAAAAAACGTGAGAAATGCTATGATGATGTCTTGCCTCTATTCTAGAGCGACAAGGTGTTTGACAGATGTTGGTTATTAACATTGGATGTCAGAAAGATGACAAAAAGTACCATCTGGAAATTCATAGCCGGTGCATTTTCAATCACCAGGATGCTCTTTTAAATTACAAAAAAAAAGGAATTGGTGCATTTTTAAAGTGTTCCATTAACTTACTCTTTTTTTTTCTGCCTGATGAGTAATTGTTAATTTTTCTGAACAATTGGAATGCAGACCAGGCGTTTTGTGAATGAGCCAGTGTAAGCAGTTTTATAATGTATCTCCTTAGGAAGCTGATTTCACAATGTGAACCGAAATCTGCATGTGAATAAGCTTGCGATTGACAGGTGACATGCAGGGGGTCTGATAACAATCGGCCCCTTCGCTCTTATTTGTATTGCTCGTCAAGAGCCATTAATCAGTCATTGCAAATATTCTCTGCATTTTAATGTACACCTGTGTCTGGCCTCACCAATAAACCTAGAACTGAATGTCGGAACTCTTTTTTTGTATCACCTGGTATTGTGATAGTCGAACTTTGCGGTTCTGGATATGAAATGAGTACAGATAAGAATCCCATGGCTCAGTTTGTTCAGGCTATCGGTTTAATTGCATGGCAGATCTGTTCCTAGGTTTGTCTCCTGTTCTCTAATGACTGGCACAATAATCTGTTTTGGTTTGCTAGTCATAACTGAGCTTGTGTTTAACATGTCTCTTTTTTTATTCCAACAGTGCTATTCAAAGAGTGCCCCACTGTGTTTGTGAATTTTTTTTCCCTCTTTGGTTTCTTTCTGAAAATGGCCTTTTTGAAGTAGTTTGTTATTTCTGACCGGCTCATTCAAACTCTTTTGTCATTTTGTTTTCAGCCACATTTGATGGGAAGCAGCACCTTCTGAGTCTGCCTGTAGTGAACAGTATTGGCTATGTGCTGCGGTTCCTAAAGAAGTTGTGCCGCAGTTTGCACTGCGAAAATCTCTTCAGCGATCAGCCTTTCATACAGCACAACGCCGCCTCCTACCACTCTGAGAAGTACTTTGAGGGAAATTCGCACTCCAGTATGTACATTATTAGTCTAATGTTTTTTTTTTGCTTTTTCCATCTTTCCTAGTAGTGTTTATTAAATAATAAAAAACAGCTGCATGCTTGAAAAAAGAAACATAATTTTAACTGATTAAAGAGATCCATTATTTTAAGTCTGATTCTGCCCTGAAACTGAAAATATGCTCCAGCGCTTGCTCTGGCTTCTGTTTCGCTCCAGTGTTAATTGAAATTTGACACTACAATGAACGCGTCTTTTTTCATGATCACTGGACCTTTGTTTTTCATATCCTTTTTATTCCCCAGTCTGGAAGTTAGATTGTAAATCTGCAATCAAAACTTCTCAATTCTCCAAACGGTTCTAATTCTCTTCACTCTGTGATGGTTTTGAATTTTACTGGTGTGCTTCCATTTGAAGGATTCTGCTGGCTTTGAGCTGGTAAACACCTGAATTTGGACTGAATTTCACCAATTAGGTGGTTATGAATGGTTAAAGCTAAATTGTGTGGTAAGAATGATCTTTTCACTATTCTGCCATTTAGGATCCAGACTGGGGATTTCATCCTTTTCTTGTTGCCATGGGGCTCTTAACATGCAGAGGCCAGTGGGAATTACTGTCTGACAGCCCAAAGGCGTTCTCGCTGTTCCCTCACAGGGGCATGTTTCACTACGTCTTTGTGATTTCAAAAACAACTCTCGCCACCGCGTGCGAAAAGAAAGCGGAGGCTTGACTTGTCTACACGGTTTGCGAGCTTTCGTGATTTAACAGCGACTCCGACAGAAATGATGGATGTGGGCTGGACAGTGAATTGTTCTAATTGCGCCTTAACTGTTTCCACCTTGTTGGTACCACACGGGGGCCTCCTCTTGCTGACAACAGCTGGCACGCATCTGGGCTGCCACAGAGACCGCGAGAGCCGGCTGTTGCTGCAAGAGAATTGCTCAGGCCCGTTCCCTTCACGCAGCTGTCACTGCGCCTGAAGGCACCCTTTCTCGAGCCCGCAGCCACAGCTCATGCAGCCAAAAGCTTGTTGATTCAAAAGAAGCCGAAAGATCAGACACTACCCTGAGATTGTTCATCAAGCTGGAAACTCTGAACAAAAAGTAATAACTTCGGTATTTCTGGGGTTCTACAATGAGAGCAATATTTCTGTCTCTGTGATTGCCGTAAACAAATATTAAAAATGTTTTTTTCTGTGAAGCATCCTGAACATTATGCAGGTGTACTGGCTGTAATGTCCTTGCAGTACGATCTGACATAGACAGAAAGAAGTATAGAAATGTTAGCTGACTAGTGTCGATCAGACACTGACAGAGTTGTAAGTGGCTCAGTGTAGTGTACAATGCTTGACTTTCATTTTCATTGAATCAGGAGGAGAAATCAGATATTCTGGTCAGCTGTGTATGAGGATGATTTAATTTCATTTAAAGATTGTTCAAAAGCTGCAGGAAGAAGTGAAAAGGTGCAGATTTGGTATTTGCGTTTGGTATTTTTGTGCTTACAGTTTCTTGTTCTCCTTACACGTAACAATCATAGTAAAAACACATTTAAGGCTTTGAGCATATGTACTGTAGTAAGGCACTATTTCGAAAAATAAAAAGGTAATCACATTACTGATTGAATGGAATCCTGTGTGTATAAACTGTTGCTGCTCTTTTCACCAAGCAAAACCAAATAGGCACACATAATATATGAGTGGTAAATAAGGTTTTCTTGAGTTGCCTATTCTGTCTGTGAATAATCCACTTTTAAGACCTTGATGTCTGTGGATATAGATTTTTTGTTACTCTTTCATGAATTTAACAGGCACTTATTAAGGACGGGGTTACCAGGGCAAGGAACATGAGGTTTTTGAACTGCTGCACCATTTATTTTAGTTAAGGGGGTCGATTTGCTTAAACCCTTAGTTGAGTTGGGGGTGGGGGATTTCACAAAGATCACAAGTTTAGAAGGGGATCACTCAAACATTCTTTTGTCTTGCTTCTTTGCAAAATGACTTTAGTGCTTCAACTATTTATTTTTGTTTCAAATATGATTCTTGTTTATGAGCTATGTATATGTGAATCATTAAGTTTTTTTTTCTTATGTTTTTGTATTGTTTTTTAACATACCAAGGTAACCAGAAAAAAAAAGAGTTGCCAGTCAGCTCGAGTATTACAAATATAAATGAGTTTAAATTAGTCTGTTATGTATCATACTTTTGCATCTTTACAGAGGGTATAATGCGTAAAGTTATTCTCTCCCAGTATCTCTCAAAAATGTCCTTCTGGAGTCTTAACTGAAAGGTTAGTTTTTCCATTTCATAAATCTCTGAAACAATAACAATCCAGTTTTCTTTGGTTGAGGGGTCTCTTTGTAACCATTTACGAGTTATAGCTTTCTTACTTTCTGCCAAGAATACTTTTAGCAAGTATTTATCTCTTTCCACAACTTCATCAGGCAGATTACCCAGATACAGAACTGAACAAGACTTTGGATTTATGGACATTGCCAAAGTATGTGGGAATGTCCTGTGTCTCTATTATCACAATCTCTCCAACAGGGTTGTGGCAAACCAAGTCGAGATGATTGTATTTTTGGGGTTATGAAGAATCGAGTTAAATTCTTCCAGCAAAATTCCCGCCATCTTTTGGAGTTTGTGGAAGTGCATTGTGTTTTACACATATTCTCCCATACCTCGCTAGTGATGGCAATAGTTGTAATAATAATTAATAACTGCTTACACTTATATAGCGCTTTTCTGGACACTCCACTCCAAGCGCTTTACAGGTAATGGGGACTCCCCTCCACCACCACTAATGTGCAACATCCACCTGGATGATGCGTCTGCAGCCATAGTGCGCCAGAACGCTCACCACAGCTATCAGTGAGGAGGAGAGCAGAGTAATGAAGCCAATTCATAGATGGGGATTATTAGGAGGTCATGATTGGTAAGGGCTAATGGGAAATTTGGCCAGGGCGCTGAGATTACACCCCTACTCTTTTCGAGAAACGCCCTGGGATTTTTAATGACCACAGAGAGTCAGGACCTTGGTTTAACGTCTCATCCGAAGGATGATAACTAATATTTACTTATTCTTTCCATTTTGTCTTAATATTATCTGTATTTTCTTTTCTAGAGCTCCTTATACCCTGATACAGTGTTGATACCATTTTACTAGTGCCTTTATTGCAACCCTGGATAATGATCTGTATGACTTGATTTAGTTGAGCATTTGAATCATGTTCCTTGATCTCTTTTATAAAGTACTGACGCATCTGTTAAGCATCGGAAAAAGTCCTGGTTTGCCAAACCCTATTTATCTTTAAGAGTCTGAAAACTGAATAGATTTCCCTTTTTCATTATTGTACAGAATGAGGAAATTGCTCTATGAGCTCACTGTTTAAATCTTTAATCAAGTATACCTGGCACAAATGCTGAATCATAAGCAAACCACCTCAATACCCTTATCTGTTTTTTTCATTTTAATTTTTTAACAACTTTTAAACCATATTTTTAATGTAAATGCAGTAAAGGAATCTAATTGATCATGTTGAAATCTGGTTCGATCACCAATAATAGCTTGGACTGGGTTCTTTTTTTTTTATCTAGTCTCTATGTCTTTCCACTTGGCTATCATTTTATCATCACACCAATAGACCAGGGGCTTGCATTGTGCTGCATAATAATAGTCTTTGAGATTCTATCTATCTTTATTTTGCTGTGATGTAGCATATCTTGTTCTTGGCTTCTTTCCATTCCAAATGAAACTGAAATATGCTTATCCTATTCTATAAATTGTTTTTGTTTTTTGGGGGGGGATATCAACAGGTAACGATTTAAATAAATACAATAATACTGGAACTGAATCATTAAGGTTAAACAGATTGTGTGATTGGTTGTTTTTTGCAACTGGCTTTCAGTACTTGACCACTCCTTGTATCCATTCTTGACAAAGCTAGACATCACATTAAGCATTATCTGTCACTGTTGGTTCAATATCATTAATAAAGCAACTGTCATTAAATGACTTGTTTTCTGGTCAGTTATGGTGGCAGCAGTAGATCAGAGAGCACTGAACCACTGTGAGGTTTTCTGGAAAAGTATGCTAAAAAAATGTTAACAACAGTAATTTTCAGAAGTTAGAAATGGTGTTGATGCAGTGAAAGATGAAGTATTTACAACTACTAAGGATAGTTTTTTTGGTCAAAATGGAAGTTTATTTTAAAGTAATTGACATTCTCTTGGCTATTGCCTCTGTATCTTTAAACTAAAGCAAGAACACTATAGCAAGAGCTGAGTCGTACCGCAGTTCCTTTGTTTGCGTCGTTAAACGTTTCAGGGCTTTGAAACACCAACATTTATTTTAGAACTTTTATTTCCAGAATGGCTTTGTAAATGGCCCTTGAGAATCGGGGTTGTTTCTACCCTGGCAGCAGTGCCGAAGCCGTGTGTAGGAGTGCCATAGCAGAAGTGATAGATCAGATGTTTATCATGTTGCTTTTCCTGTAAGAGGTGTGACTTCCCTGAGATTGGTACCTCTACCATTCACTTGCCGCAGTAGAGGAAAAAGGATGTGGTACTTCCAAATACAGGGCATTGCAAGAGTGTTCGGGACCCCTCCTGTGGTGTCCCATATTGTGAAATTACAAAGTGATGCACGTTTTTAAACATTTAAACTTAAGATGTTATTTAAACCCTTAGTGTGCAAGCTGAAAAATAAGGGTAAGATAAGATTCAGTAAATGTCAGCAAAAATGTTGTACGTTGAGTACCAGACACACTAAATTCAAACCCTACAGTGAGCTCAATATTTTGTGAAGGCACCTTTGGCCTCAATTAGGGCTGCAAGTCTTTTTAGCTGAGTCCTTACAAACTTTGCACCCGTGCTTGGTGCAATTTTTGCCTACTCTTCTTGGCAGATTTGCTCAAGTACTCTCAAGGGGATCTCTCAGGAACAGCAAGTTTTAAGACTTTCCAAAGATTCTCAATATGATTCAAGTCAGGACTTTGGCTGGACCACTTAAGGACTTACAC